AAACAAATTAATTATTAGCGAAAGTGCGTACAAAATTTATATGAAAAGAAATCAATTATTGGCAAAAAGCAAATCAGCGGCTGCCAGCCAATCAGTGGTTTTGTTATACTTTTAATTATACGTTGGGAAAATTGTTTGATGGATCATATGAGCTTTCTTCTTTTGGCCGATTATTTGCCCTGTTCACATCCGGTCAAAATCAATTTTGTGTTTCGGCACTTTTCAGGTTTTTCATTTCAGGACATCCTCTTCAGTCGTTATAAGTCAACGGATTTTCCAGAAGCACTTTTACAGTTATAGCTTATCTTCGCTTATAATGGTCGGTATTTGTTTGCGAGTCCATTTTTCATCTTGTGGGGCACAGTTATTAGATACGGAATGTAGCAGAACTGTACCACGGACCACTGATTCTCCATATACTTTGAAATTTTGTTTTTGTTATTTGGAGCCTTCGCTTGCCTTCAGTAATAAAATGCATGCAAGCGTCTTTAACCGTAGGGGCTTGAATACCAACTGTTCTGGAAGAAACACCACGTTTCTACATTTCAATACAAGCAGTGTCACGAAAGCGAACTATGAAATTATGCAAAGTTACCTTTTTTCTTTATTTTTTTTCTTATAATTTGTTTATGCTTAATACTTAGTAATGCTTGCATCAAAAAAAAGCTTGTACCTTACTTTCTTTAAAATTTAAAATGCATTTCCCCAAAAGATTACTGTCTTTGTTTGTATCAATTGGCACAGATTTCCGTAAATTTGTAGTATGGCACCCATCGTTGTTGTATTTTTCCTGAGCTTGGTTGTTTTTTGCTATTGGTTGACCATTAGTTGAGTAAACTTGCAGATTGCCGCGTGTTGATTGTGAGCTTCCATTGGTAATTGTTGCTTTTCAATTCTACTCACAAGAGTGATAACCTACAAAAAGGGAAATTCCTCAAAATTTTTCCTTACGGACGGTCTTTCGCGCGACTCCTCAGTTATAATAAAGCCGTCGCAGATTCCTTTTAGTCAGTGGAAAGAAAGACGAGGCTGTCAAACTGAAATAGCTTCAAGAGCGTTTAGATCAGTGAAACAACGTCTGAATTTGGCTTTAGTGGATTGATGAACAAAGAAATTACTAATTTACGCAAGTCACTGTTATGCATATTCTTAGACAGAAAGTAAGCTAAATTAATGAATAATATAAAAAAAAGTAAATAAAGGAACAAACTGTAGAATAAGTCACAGGTCTTCTACCAATTATTTCTAACGTTTTTTTTAATTCATGATTGTTTTATGAACGTGCAAGGGTTTTTTTATTTATCTTTAACTCATACTTCTTCTTCCTTTTAAGACACATCTTCGTAGTTTTCCCCCATAAACTGTGCAAACTTCCCTTTCTAAATACAAAAAAAGCTTTTTCTCGGCAGTGATTCCTTCCCTGTAATAAGCTTAAGTGATTAAGCTCAAAGCCCTTTTATAACGCCGTCTCTGTATATATTATACACGGACGAACGATGTCCCCAATGTGCAGCTAATTCATTTAAGATTAAGCACTGGTAGTATCGAGCTCTTGTTGACGATTTTACACTCTCTTTATACTAGTGAAAAACTGGCTTGAAAAAATTTGAAAAAGTGCCTACAACACCTGGGATTCCCAAACCGTCTCCGATCTAAGTACCAACCAGGCCCAATGTTGCTTACCTTAATAGAACGGACGGGATGTCGTGTTTTCAACGTGGTATGGCCGTAAGCAGTTCTAACTAGTGGTGAAAGTGTACAAGAAACCAGAATACTACTACTGGTACAATTTGCATCATCCTCTTATTCAGCGCAACAAATTTTTTAACTTTAGTGTTTACAAAGATTCATTCTAACTCTATCAGCTTTATCCCAAATTAGTCATTTGCTCAGTTTTTTCCTGCATCTAATATTCCATAGAAAAATTAAACCAATTGCCAGTTGACCGGTAGATCACAATTTTTTTTCAGATTAACAATTTTTTGCGGTATCAAACCATGTACCTTGTGCAACAAATCTTCGCTTTCATGGCACTACCTGAAGCTTGCAGTCGACTCCAGTGTTTCAGAAATCTTAGTTTACACAAATAATCTCTGTACTATATACGGGGACGCCAAATATTCAGTGATATTCAGATGTTTAGGCAGTGTTATCGACGAATCAATGAGAATAGTGCGATGTGCAACCCGGTGAGAATTTCGCGAATACCAGAAAAAAGTTATAAAAAAATTCAGTCCTTCGTGGAAATGAGGGCCCTAAAAGTCAGTTAAAAAACTGATATAGCACTAGTGACGATGGGGAGGCAGTGGCGTCACACCTTGACGACAAAGAAATGTTTAATAACCCAAATCACAGGTAAGTGAAAAGCAGCGGTTGTGCAAAAAGTATTCAATTACTGAAGTCTGAGACAGGTCAGGCAATAGCTGTTACGTCCTTCACATCGCGTGGTGATTTTGAGGAAACAGAACTTACTTAACACGCATAAGGACGATACTTTTCGTGGGGTAAAATAAAGCGATATGTAATCTAAGATGGAGGTCGGTGGTTCGTGGCTGACTCAGTCAGTTTTTCCAATTTGTATCTGTGGCTGTACCTTAAAAAGACAAATTTTTCCGCTTCATTCTCATAGCTGAAAAGAAAAGCTGCATAAGCTCTCTTCTCCCCTTCTGGCGTCCTGTTCCTCCTAGCGCTGTTACCTTCCGTCACTTTTTCGCCAAAAACGCAGCTGTTCCATCGGAGGATTGAGTCCACCAGTGTACTTAAACGCTTGCTTTGTCCTTCCTCAGTTAGTACTGTAATTGTGACTAATTAATTTTTTTTAGTATCTAATTAGTTAGTTAAAGTGCCAATCTCTTCAATAAACCTAAAAATTATATTCAAAACCGGGACACAAGATAGGGTCGGTTGCCTATTCACTAGTGGCTACAACTAGTCATAAAGCTGTTTGGCTTTGCATTGTAAATGGAAACTGTGAAGAAAAGCGATTGTTGTTTAGTCCTGTTGAAGAATTTCCCTTGCCGTATTTGGTATTCAGGCTTACTCATAAGTTCTTGTGCCAGTACAACTTCTGATGATCATGTACCTGCCACGCGGGAATTATTGGATTTACTGGATCTTATTTTCAAATCTTAAATTTGGGTAATTAAACCTAAAATAGTCATTCGGTTAACTATAGAAAACAGTTAATTGGCAGGGGCTATGACACAAACGAACGAAAATATATGGTTGCATTACAAATACAAGGAAAAATTAGAAATGATGACGATGTTTGAAAACGACAAAGGCAAGAATGCTACAGGGCTTGCTTAGATAAAGCCCTAGGTAACCTGTAGCTGCTCCAAATGAAATTTAGCCACCCGACTCATACGGATGAACCCCAGTGGTTTGACAGTCCAAGCAATATTCACCAAAATGAATCATTGTCAATTAATTTCATTACTCCTTCCACAATTATGGTAATGACTAATCAAGAAGTCAGGGATTAAATTTCTAGCAGGAGTTATTGTTAGTGATCTCTAGTATAATGATCATTCCCTGATAGCTAGTTACTTTCGCGGCTAAACCTGCCTTTAATGACCGTTGCTGTACTGGTCACATTTTAGTGAATAATGAAATTTCCTGCTGAATTATGCTTTTTTGACCCTTTATGCATCTGGAGATTGCTCAACCTTCTTCGTCTCTTTCCTCGCCCTCAAGCGACAGGCACCTCAAGTGTAGGGAGCAAAATCGTCAGCTCCCCAATCATTATCCGTCGTGTTGCTGATGGGTAAAACAGCCGTTAGATTACAAAATAATTAATTACTGTTTAACACCAAGAAATACACCCTTCGGCCACTTGAATATAGACCCACACACCACTCACCAAATAAGCAAAAAAATTTTTTGTGTTGTTGTTGATGAGGCAGAAAAAATTCATTCTGACGATTCAAAACTTCAGAGTTGTTTGAAGAGCACCTTTCAACTTCAGAATCAAGAAAATTAAGTTTTGCAGCGCCTAAGAAAATTATAAGTTCCTTACATTTCTAAAAAAACCGTGAAGTAGTTTTTTTAACTTCCGCAATAAAAATTTGCTCGAAAACAGCACAAAAAATGAAACGCTGTGGCAGCACTCCTTGAAGTATTTAAGCCTGAGTGATACATTGTGTGAAGTCGGTTACAAAATTTGAGAAACTTGTTTGTTGCTTGAAGACTGGAATTTGGTTAATTTTAACTTTCGAAGCCGGAAGAAGCACAAAACCGCACAAAAATGAAAAATTTAATCATACTCGGCTTATTATAGGACACTAAATATAAATGACAAATAAAATGATAAGCAGCAGTAACAAATCCAAAGAAAAATAAGAGGGACAGCGTGACCGGTAAGAGTCCCAAGCAAAAGCTAGATGGTGCAAATTATTAGATATAACTGAATGAAAGAGGTAGGAAAAAATTTATGTCTTTGTCACTACTTCTGTCAAGTTTTTCTCATCTATTCACATCTTCTTGCAAATTACAGCTGCAAACAGTTAACCGAGTCGTTTTTTAACTGAAAAGCTAAACTACTTAATCGGTACAAAAATCCTGGATACCTGCCATTGAACTAAGAAAATTGATTCAATTTAAACTAAAAACAGAAGTGTTTTTAAAGAAAAATTTTTGAAACAATTCTTTTCAATAAACTGTCGTAAAAGCACTGAAATATTGAAAATCAACGCTGAGGTTCCTGATAAATCAATTTTTCATGAGAATAAAACGTCAAATCATTGAAAGCATGCCCACTTCCACAATACACCAGAGTAGTCACTTTAGAAATGCACTTGTCTTGAACTGGCAAGAAAATGGCAGAAAACCTGAATATGAAAAAAAAATCAGCTGGAAGAATGTAGAATAACATGTTTCTGAAATAAAAAATATTTCTAGATTAAAGACCAATGTTTTTGTATAGATTCAATCCTTGATTAACAGAAAAAATTTCCAACATAATCTTTTAATTGTGAACCAAATTACTTGTTGCACATCACCTAAGCATAACTAGTCTTCAGCTTAGTGCAAGCACACGATATCCGGCAATTGGCTAGTCGTCTGGGTCTCGGCGCAACACGTTCCGCCGGTGACGAGCCACTCGTATTGAAATGAACAGTGATTAGATTCTCTAGTGTATCCAACATCTCCTCGATTTGCTTTATTTGTTCCGGGTCAATTGAACGTTCTCCCAAAGGAAAACTGTTTTCTAACGCTTCACAACGTCTCATCTCCTTCACCACTTCACTCGCACAGCAAATGAAATACGACGCTTGACGAGTAAAATCACCACCTAGAAACAAAAAATGCTACGCCGTTCTTTAAAACCTGTACACACCTAACAAAATAAAAAATTTCAGTCATTTTCTTGACTAGTCGTCTCATTCCGTTCTCTGAGTAGACAGGTTGAAACCAATGAAGGCACGTATTTTCGATATAATTTACATATACCACCTATAGTGGTATACTTACATATACCTTACATATACCACCTATAAACAGTGGAAGACACCTCACTTTTTTGCTTCATCTAAGCTTTTCAAACGTTCCATGAGCAAAGAAGCATAAAGAAATGAGAAATTGGCAAATTTTTCCAAACGCATATCCCAAATGAAAATTAAAAATATACTAATTGACCAATTCGCCAAGCTTTAAAAGAGTAATTCTGCTTTGCAGTGGACCTTCGGAAATCATGACGTCCGACGAAAATGTCCTGCTGAAGACAAAAAATTACGAAAATAGCAAACCGACTTCAAGAATTAAAAAGTAAAATTTTTTCTCCTATACGTCCTACCCCGTGAAATCGAGTACTCACGCTCCGTTCTTCATTTCCGTACCCTGCTCTTCCTACATTTTGACCCCATTATCTCTCAGAGGCAGTCTCACGAGGAAACGAAAGGTGGGGAAAGAAAAGAAGATAAGTATAAGCGAGACATAATAGAAGCCATGATTCGAACAATCTAAAAAGTGTCGAACAGTCAGCTAAAGCATGCCTCTTGTCAAAACATTCAGCAAAAAAAACGCTGTTTTTAGTTGCTACCCAATTTCTCAAAATGTCGCTTGTTAAAAGAATAAAAAGCACTCATTTTTCCGTTAGCTTTTTTCACCCTTTTACTCCTTTTTCAACTCTATAATAAAAACAAGCTGTCCTTATCGTACTTTAATCTACCGTTCACTCTGCTTCACTCTTTGTCGCTGATTATACAAATAACTACGAAAGAAGAGAAATAGAATGTTATCACTGTTTCGCGAGTTTCCAGTAGGAACCACAAGCTCTACCCGCAAAAACAGCTTTGAGCCATTTAATACCCCAGTTATTATCATATCTTCATCGCTTCAAATAACATATTCGTTTTGACTCCCAAATTAACTCTACAGTTCGCAACAGCAGAAAGCGCTCGAGCTGTAGTAAGTTACATTACTTCGCCGATACGCGTATTGTTTCTTTAAACAAAATTAACTTTAAAGAAAATAAGAACCTCACAAAGGTTTTTTTTGTGCTTTTTTTTGCCTTTTCTGCACCAAATCAATTCTTACGCTTTTGTTTGACGGCAATTAAGACATTTTTCTACAAAGTTATGAAGTACTTTATAAACCACTCAAGTTTTCTGCGTCATACCAAGAGCAATTCTAAAAGCTTTTTCGTATATTTCTGCTTTTTTCTCATGATTTCAGAGGTGCTGGTGAAACAGTTCATTAAGTGTACTATCTTGCGCTACTAGCCTTATTAAGAAGTCGACAACACTTCTCGAGCGAAAATACTAGTCGAGATTACCAGCCGGTAACTTTTTTTTAAGACGCAGCATGATTCTTGACTATTTTTTTACCTACATATCTCTTCTTCTTTAGTGTTAAGTTTTTTAGATATTGCAAGGAATACGCTATCCAGTAATATCAATACATGTAAGACTTTCACTCAAAATTATTAATTTTTTTAACAGTACCAAATAAAGTATGAAATGTTCCACACTATGTTCACCACGCCCCAGTAGTTGAGTCCAGTCGGTTAAGACAGATATCAGCTGGCTGGTGTTGAGATGGCACTCCTTAGTAAGAGCAGCACCAAAAAACAGTGTCTTTCCTACTTACCTCAGCATCCCAACAACTACAAATAAATCTAGGGAAAACTTTAGCTCCCTTAAGATCAACTTCGTTTAAAAAAGTAATGTGCACCTTAGTGGAGTATTGAAATCCACCCAACTCAAGCTCCTTCTGCTATAGCTGATCATAAAATTAATTTGAAAATGAAAACCAGCGTACATGCTTTTTATCTACGAAATTGACTGTTTAATAAACTTTGCGCAACAAAACTTTTTTAAGAAGCTTACGATTCCCCGTAGACCCAGTAAACAGGGCTCTTTTGGGAAGTCTTGAGGTGCTAAAGCAGAAAAAGATAAAGCCTCCAATCTAAAAGAAAATCTATAATTTTTCCTCAGAAAATGAATTGAACAAGAGAATGCAGCGAAACAAAGAAAACCGCATCTACTTACCTTCTTGTCGAAGATGAGGAACCATTGCATTTTTTGCAGCTTCACAAGCTCTTACGCATGCTCTGCTGCAGGCGTACAAATCTTTCCGCATCTGTAAGCCGTCCTGACTCGTACCAGCAATATGAGCTTCATCGTGTAAAGCACATAGCTGCGAACTGCACTCAAACACTAGCTAAAAATACCGTTTTTTAGAACAGTTACAAATTATTTAATTTAACAAAAAACAGATTATATTAGTGTTGAAATTACGTAGCAAAATGCTGTCTCTTTCCACCCAACTACAAGAAAATTACAGTGACAGCGCTAAACCTGACGACTTCTTGAAAGTATCAAAACTGACTCTAACAAAAAACAAAATTTGACAAAATTTTAACACTTTAACAAAATTTGGACAATTTTCGAACGAAAATGTGATGTTCTGGTAAACTCCGTGCCCACTCATTACATAATTCGGGCACAACTTAAGATGGCAGTTCTTCGCGAACAGTTTTTAATCACCTTCTTATGCAATGTCAGAAATCGCCTAAAAAATTACAAATATTTCTTCTACACCAATTCAATAAAAATTAACGCGAAATGTTTAAAGGAAAACTTAGTGAGTAATTCTTTTCAATTTTCTTTTCTAGATGGAAAGGTACTTAAGTGTCTTCTCCGACGACACTGTGCCTTGTCAAATTTTAAACATTTTCTAGCATTAAGAATGTAACTGATCGAACTATTCAAAAAAAACGTAATCTCAGATGCCACATTTTCTCGACCCAGTTAAACCTTTTTCAATAACAAGTTTATACATCAATTTAAAAAGCAAAGCAGTCCACTACAAATGCAGATTTCCAACTAAAAAAAATTCAAAAGACTCCTTGAAATGAAAAATATACTCGCGTTCATTTCTAATTGTACGTCCAGAAAAACAAGCGGGAAAATGCACTGCTTCGCGAAAGGTTCCAGAAGTTCTGGAGGAGTGCCAATGTGCTGTACGAAAATGATAGGAAGTTATGCGGGCGACCTCCGAAAAGGTATGCATAACTTTTGTATATCACACGCAATTGAGGTGTGACAAAGAGCAGCTGTCTCTCAGTGTATAATCTGTTTGTTTTCGGAATTTGTTGCTTTTTGGCCTCCTTTTTGCAGAGATATTATCAGAAATGTGAGACCGTTTACGTTCTTTACACGTACCTTGCAACTTAGTGACCTTAATCACTTTGTTAACTGCGCG